CCTAAGTAGAATAGTTATATAGAGAAAGCTAGAGACGTAATAATTATAAAAAGCTAAGTAATAAGAATTATAGCTAGATTACCTAAGAAGCTAGCTTTAGAGCTATTTATTATAGCTATTTAGATTCTTAACACTACGCTAGTTAAATTAAATAGCTAGAAAACTCTATATAAGGTAGTAATAGGTTATAAACTATTAGTAGCTTATTACGCCTCTATTAGCTATTAAGCGTATATTTATAGAAAGAATCTTAAAAAAGCTAATAAACTAGAAGCACGTACTTATATTAGGTACCTACTAGAATAGAACTTCTTAAATATCTTTAAGATCTAGATACTCTTAAAGAATAAGGTTATCTAAACTTAAGACGTCTTGTTTATACGCGACAAGCTATATAAGAATAATAGTAGTAAATATAGAAAGTTTCTAGAAGTTAATATAATTAATATTAAGGTATATAATATCCCTTATAAAGAGCTTATAGTAGAGGTTAAAGATCTGCTACTATAGAGCTAATTACGCCTATTTAACATAACTTTAGACGAATAGACGTTAATACTAGAGTAATATATACTAGCTAAAGAATTAGTAGAAGAAGACCTAGAAATATAAATCTAGAAGAAGTAACAATAAGCTAAGAAGCGTAATAAGTTTCTAAGAGGTTACTTAATTACTCTAGCGTTGTTAAGACACTCTACTCTATATAGTAAGAGCTTAAGAGGCGCGTTAAGAAAGACTAACCTCTCTAAGCTAAGCTTATCTACTATTTAAGCTAAATTGCTATAAAGACCTCTTAGAGCTATAGAAGACCCTAAATATGTGCTAGATAGGCACTAGAATAATACTCTACTACGTTAAAACCTTAATTCTAAAGACCTAAGTAACATAATATAGAGTAGACGCTATAGACACTCTTCTCTAAGGCCTAAATACATAGCTAGCGTAATTAAAGTATAAAAGAAAGCTTAAATATTTAACTTAATACTATTAATAAACTTATATAACTATATATTTGTAACTTTAGTAAGCTATATTAATAAACTAAGAGTTAATAGAGAGCCTATAAGGTAGAAATACTACCGTAATTAGATACTATCTCTACCTAAGCGTTATAAAGATATTAAAGGCTATATGTTTAAAGCTAAGTTTAAAGAGGCTGTATAGAAGAAGTTTAGTAACTACTTTAAGAAAGAGTGCTTTAAGAAGACGTTAGTAACGCTAGCGTTAACTATAGTAGAGTATCTTCTACTTATATAGGTATTATTATATAAATTTAATAAAGATAGATATC